TCTTTTGGGTCCTAAGATCCAATTATGTCTTTTGTTGTTCCTTTTTGGCTTTCTGTGTCAGCTGCATGCTCTGTAAAGTTACTGATTACTGACCTGTTGGCAACTTTACAAATCAGCTTTGAAATGCAAGCTGTCAGTAGCTCTTGAGTACCCCAGTCCCAGGTTACCAAGGCCATGCAATGCTGCATTGAATTTTTAATCAGTTTTTCCTCTGCTTCTGCCTAGCTTTTTCCAGGTTAAGGTCAATTTTGCAACCAGCTGAATTCTTTAATAATGACTGTCTTTGCAGTCCTCACTGGGTTCAAAAGGAAGAACAATTTTTTTCATTGCATTAATATTAATTTTTTTACTGTGGGGGCTTATTACAGGGGCATACTTTCTGTTTAAGTATTCATTGTTAGATCACAAAGTGCGCTACAGTGTAGCCAAAGTATTGCCTCACGAAGATAGGAGTGAACTGCCACTAACCTGAAATTTCACTGGCCCCACTTTTAAAATGAAGCAAGGCTGCTATTGTAACCCATTTTATGTCTTTTCCCTGCAGCCATGCAACTCAGAGGAGAAAGCTTGCCACCTCAGACACATGTCCTTTGGCTCACCTTTCTAAATGTGACAATTGCAGTTTATTTATTAATTCTACCATTAAGCTTTGATCTCTGTTTTAAAAAGTTGCAGCTTTTTGTCTAAGTAAGCAAGACTAGAGTAAGTCTTAATTTGAGTACTGGAAATTTGGACCTAAATGTGAAACAAAACAGTCATCTTTATTTCCTCTTCAGTTTACCCACAGTAGCATTTATCATCTAGGAATTTGATATACTGAGTAGATGCTTATTGATTTCATGACTGGTGAATAATCCAGAAATTCTTTCTTTTTGAGGATGTGTGATGCTTTATTTTACTAGATTACCTTGACGTTCTGTTTATTTACAGGTTCCTATGCCACGATGACATACCTAATCAGGTAGTTATCACCCTTTTTTCACCATAGCTTTTTGCATACTTTTACAGAATCTCATAATAATGTGATTTTTTTTTTCTCCCTGGAGTGAAAAGACAGTTACAATTGCCCTTTACTACCAAGGAAAGCAAGGTAGTAAGTATTGTGGTAGCATTTCTTGTGCAATAATTAATAACATATGATAAAAAGATGGTGATATTTGGTCAGCTCTGTAGCATATCTGTTCTCTTTGAGGCTACATTCGGAATTACTGGGATTTCCAGGCAGTAGTAGCAGTGCTACTATATGTAAGTGAATTCTCAAGGTTGTTTTAAAAGCTTGAGGCAGTTAGTGACAATAATTACTCCAGGATATTTAAAATCTAGAGTCTACTGAAGTTTGAATTACATATGTCTGTGAGCAATGGTTTATACTGAATAAGTATGGGTGCCTTATAACAAGACTCAAAGAAGGTGGTTCTCTACAGGTATCTCAAAACAATCACAAAAGCAGAGGTAGCTGGGGCAAGAACTTACTGATTATACACATGAGATATTGAAAAATAACTGATGATTCATGGATAGCGTGCAAATGTAGGACCTGAAAAATCAACCACAAAGTTAAACAAACAGTTCTGTGGTTTCCAGGTGGCTTTCTATAAGGTAAGGTCTGGTCTCATTTTAAGCTCTAGTCAAAATTCTTCTGTGTCTAAGATTTAATAAACAGTCCTTTCCCACACTATTTCTCATACTTGTTGACATTTTGCTGCTTCCTTTTTATGGATGATGGCGAAGAACAAAGAATTTGGTCAGTCTCATCAAAATGATGGAAAGCTTATTTTACTAGTCATGTGAGAGCTTAACAATAATTGAGAATTTTCTTCTTCTGTCCTTTTCAGTGGAGACTGGTCAATAGTTAGCCTATTTTGAAGTGGTAAGATGACCAGTGCACAGAATGACATACATGCTGGACTGTTGCAGAAAGCTTATTCCTTTATGAAGCCAGAAATAAAGATTGTTTTCCTGGTGGCATTCACTTGCAAAATTTTTAAGGAGTGTACTAATTACATCTAAAAATGGTGTCTTGTTTACAATTAAAAAAAAAAAAAGCAAATTAGTCACTTCTGAAAAAGAAATACCCACCTTGAAAAATTGAAGATAAAATGCTTTCTAGGCTATTGCTATTACTGGGTCTGGAGCTGCTCATATTCCAGTTTTAACAAAGTGTCTTATTGCCATCTCCGCAGAGATGATTGAAGACCTCCTGAGAAGGCCCCAACATGTTCAGATTTTTATGGATACAGGAGTCTATGCTGCTAAGCCTCTCTTAATTTGAAACCTTGGAGCTAATGGATCCTTTATAGACTTTCTCTGAGCAGGCTGCTATGACTATGTGGTTACTGGTCTCAGGGACAACTTGGGACTTACTTTACCATACAGACAGAAGCTTTCAATGAGAACTCAATATTCTGCTGCTATTTGTAATTATTTTATTGTACCTACTTTAATAAGTACAGTCCAGTACACTTTATTGACACAATTGAGAACAGGAGTCACATCTCTTACAGGTACCTAGAAAAACAGGACAGGATTAGAGAAAGCAATTATTCAAGGATCTTTGAAAGGGAAGAGGAGATGATAAGGCTGAGAAGAGCACTGATAAAGAACAAAGAGTGGATAAGCCAAAACTGAACAAGAAGAGCAATAAATAGGCAATTTGAGGCTACTCCACTTTGACAAATAACTCTTGAACCAAAGATAGCTGCCGATGACTAATAACAGCAGTTATTTGGTTTAGGTAGCACACATAATGTGATAATTGATGGGCAAGAATTTCTTGAGGGACATCATCCTGTCATGCAAGATTTTTTATAGTTCATGTTTTTGACTATCTCTTTGGGTTGATCATAGTAGAAAATATAATGGTTTCCATTGACTAGATTGATAAGTGGCCTGTAAAGCTGAATGATACCCCAGGAACTTAAATTTCAGTACAATCCACATCACTACCCACACAGTGCATAACTGCATATAGAAAGCATAAGAGAGAGTAATTATCCTTTCCAAACCTGAATTCAGGATCTCTACCTTGGTAATACAGAAACAAAAAAAACAGTGCATGAAGAAAGCTTTGAACTCTTTGCAGACTGTTACCCTGACAAATTTTAGCTGAAAACAACCAGAGTTTTGAGAAAGTCATACAAGCTAAAGTGCGATAATAAGGTACTGTGACAGCCATGAAGATGACAAGAGGGCTGTTTGCATCTCTCATATGAAGACAGGCTGAGAGAGTTGGGGTTACTGGTCCTGGAGAAGAGAAAGCTCCAGGGAGACCTTACTGTGGCCTTCCAGTACTTAAAGGGGCTTTATAAGAGATGGAAAGGAACTTTTTACTCCAGCAGATATTGATATGAAAAAGGGGAGTGGTTTTAAACTAAAAGAGGAGAGATTTAGATTAGATGTTAGGAAGAAATTCTTTACTATGAATGTGGTGAAGCACTGAAGAAACACAGAAGAAGTTGTGCCCTGAGAAGGCCAGAGAAGCTGTGGATGCCTCATTCCTGGATGTGTTCAAGGCCAGGATGGATGGGGCTTTGAGCAACCTGGTCTACTGAAAGGTTCCCTACCCATGACAGGGGGTAGAATGAGATGATCTTTAAGATCCCTTCTAACCCAAACCTTTCTATGATTTTATGATTCTATAAATGGTATTTCTTATGGGTAATGACATCCCTCATTACACACCAACACAAGGCCAGACCTCACTACCATTTGGTATATCTTTAGAAGCAAAACTGTCATCTTATATCCCAATGAACTTGAGACACAACATTTCTAGTCAGTGCCATGAAAAGGACCACCACAAGGAAGGGTTGAGCCAGTTTCTTTACAGCCTTACTGAGAAAGGGAGTACTGTTGCGTCCTCTTGCTGTCAATGCAGTGTAGGCTGTGAATGAGTTTAGAGAAGCAAACATGCAACAGGAAGTTTTAGGGGTACACTAATTAGTTTACTTTCTTCAGACTAAGACCCATTTGAGAACACTTGTTCCTAACATAATCATCATGGCTAGGCTTCACAAACAAAGATTTGGGAAGGGTTCTACCCACATTTTTTAGAGGCACACTGGTAGGTAAAAAGGCCAATATGAGATAGACAAGTCCGGTTGCAAAAGGCACAGCAGAAGGACTCCTTAGGTGGTATATTCCGCAAGGCACGATTCTTTCTGCGTTGTCTTTTCTCCTCTAGAGTGATCCTGCGTGTGTTCTCAAAAGAAGCAGCAGCATTAAAGATAGTCTCCAGACCTCCCGATTGGAGGCCAGAGTAGACCAGTTATGGTGATCAATATGGCCAAGGCTGAGATGTTGTTTCAGGGAGTCCTTGTATCTTTCCTTCAGGGCTCCTCTCTTGCGGCAGCTGGTGGCAAGTTCACCATAAAGCAGGATCTTAGGGAGGTGGTGGTCCTTCATCCTGGAGACATGTCCTGCCCAACGCAGCTGTGTTCTCAGCAACATGGCCTCTATACTCGTAACTGCTGCCTGTTCTAGAACAGATGTATTGGTCACATAATCTGACCAGTGGATGTTTAGGATTGTGCGGAAACAGCGTTGATGGAAGCGTTCTAAGAGACACAGGTGGTGGCGGTAGATGACCCATGATTTGGATCCATATGAAAGAGTAGACAGCACTATGACTCTGTATACACTGATCTTTGTACTTTTCTTCAAATGTTTATTTCGCCAAACTCTTCTATGAAGTTTTCCAAAAGCACTATATGCCTTTGCTAACCTGTTGTCTATCTCTCTGTTAATCTTACCATCTGAGGAGATGAGGCTACCTAGGTAATTAAACTGCTGGACTGATTTGAGCTCTGATTGGCCAATAGTGATATGGGGATGATGGAAGACTTCCTGAGGTGCAGGTTGATAGAGAACTTCTGTCTTCTTTAAGCTGACTTCCAGCCCAAAGAGCTCAGCAGCATCTGCAAAGCAGGATGTTAAACACTGCAGAGCTGCTTCTGTGTGGGCCACAAGGGCGGCATCATCAATGTAAAGCAGCTCCCGGACAAGATGATTTAAGGTCTTAGTGTGGGCCTTCAGTCGCCTTAGGTTGAATAGGCTTCCATCAGTATGATATTAAATGTAGATACTGTCTTGATCATCAAGGTCTGCCATAGTGACCAGTGATAAAAAGGAGAGTTTGAAGCCCGTCACTGCATATCACACCTTGCACTCTGGGTTTTGGGTATAACCAAAAAGACTCAGATTATTCTTTGTTTCCTGGCCTGCTTTTTTTTTTTTTTTCCAAGTCGTATATGAAGCAATGAAAAGAGATCACAGGAAAACCCATCTCTGCTCATTATGCTTCCTGCTGTTTGGTGTGCAGCTACTCACATGAGGTATGTATTTGCATGCAGCTTTTTCCTTGCTTTGCCTATGACTAACCAGAGAGAGAGGAACTCCGAAGAGACTCGTTAAACCTATGAAAGCTGCCACAGTTTGTCACATGTGGCTCCACACACGTAAGCAGAGCATTGCTTTATAGTAAGCAGCAAGTCTCTCCTTCTGCAACAATAGTGTTTCATGTCACTGTTTTAGTCTCAAGAGAAGCTGCTATTAAATGGTAGATGTTAGTTTAATATTAATAATTGTCTTAACTTCATGCATCTACAGGTTTTCATCTAGTAAAAGGGAGCTATTCATTTTTCCTCATAAAAACAACATTCCTCTGAAGGGAATTTAACAGATGTAAGGAGGTTGATGGCAGGTGCAGCATAATGAAAGCAAGACACTTTGAACTGTCAGTGGCTCTCTAACTGCTCTTTGTATTACCCTGGCAGAGGTGTGCCTGCTCCAGTTCAAAACAGCTGCTCTCTCACAAGTGTACTCCTGGCTCCCATTCACCACCCTGCAAGGAAAAGCAGGGCTGCAGAAGGAGAAAAAATGTAGGAAAAAATATCTGGATCAGGTGAAAAACATCTGCCTGCACATCAGTATAGTTTAGAGCAGTCAAGAGAGCCTGTAATGTTTTATAGAGCTTGCATATTGTCATTTTTAAGGGGAAAGACTCAGAAAATGAAGATTCATTAATGCTGTAGCACTGGGTGTCAGGCGAATACCTCTTTCATCATTCAGCACACCACCGTGGGGAGCGCTGCTCTTCTGCAGAGTGTTCTCCGTTTTTCTCCAGTTAGTATTAAATTGGTGCTAGGGCTTCTGCCACTTCTCCAGGAAAAGATATTAATAGGTCTTAGCAGTAAGGGATGTTTCTTGACAGCTAAACTGTAGAAAACCTTTCTCTATTTTATCTTATTTTAATGATATTGCTAGTTTGTAAGGCATTAAGAATCTCTCTTTGTGCTTGTTTTTCATATTCTTCACCTTCTTGTCATGTGAATGACACAGCATTGCCTATTTTCAACTCTGTCCACTTATTAGTCTTTTGAACATTTAATAATCAATTTTGTGCCTTTTTTTTCCTTCATAATTCCCTCATCTCAGTCCATATCTTTCTGGCTGAAACTTTCAGAACAGTCTGCAATATTAATAAAGACTGCATGACACTGTAGTAGAAAGGTTTCTTGACATAGGTTTGGGGTGACCTGTAAATCTCTTGTGGAAAAGTGATAAAGTAAACTATGCAGCTCATCTGAAATTACTGTTATTAAATCTTCATACAAAGGTTGCAAGATATATAATTTTGAGACTGGTGCAGAGGTCTTTTCTAACACTATTGTTTTTCTAGTACTATTTTTCTAATACTGTTCCTTCAAGCTTATTTTCCTTTCATTCTTAATTTGTCTTAGTCAATCAGCAGAGTTTTTTTTCCAGGAGGAGTTGATATCTTTTGGCACTGTATATAGAAGCCCTTCTGTTCTGCAATGTTCTTTTTTATCCATGTGATTACACAGTGAACGGGGCTGCCTTTCCTGAGGCAGATGCTGGAGCTTCTCTACTGTGGTCAGGAGAAAGAGGGACTCTTGAAGACAAGATTGTAACCACTTTATGCAGTTGTATATGCAATAGTCTAACCTTGTCCCCTTCTAGGTGACAGGAGAGTACCTGGGAGGATGCAATTGCCGTTGTATTTTACTATTCGTTAAGATTTAAAGAGAAAACAAAATATTCTAAGTGACTACAAAAGGTTGTTTCAATACTGTTGTGAAATGCCATATTTATTAGAACAGGAGAAAAGTTAGGGCCATGGAACTTATCCTTCTATTTGACTACATGACAGGAGGTTGTGTCAAGGTGGGCATCAGTCTCTTCTCCCAAGTAACAAGTGACAGGATGAGAGGAAATGTTCTTGAGTTGCACCAGGAGAGATTTTTATTAGATCTTAGGAAAAAATATCTGCACTGAAAGGGTGGTCAGGCACTGAAACAGGCTGCCCAGGGAAGTGGTGGAAGTGTTCAAAATGTGTATGGATATCATGCTTGGGGATATGGTTTCATGGTGGACACAGCGGTCCTGGGTTAACAGTTGGACTCGATGATCTTAGAGGTATTTTCCAACCTTATAACTTCTATGATTCTGTGAGGACATACTGTATCTTTAAATAATTAATTGAGAAAATATTGCCAAAACAGATTATACCTAAATTATCAGTATATAATATGAGATCTGTTTCTTAACTATCTCTCTTCCCACTGAAGATGTAGTGCATTCCTGTAAGATCTTAACCAAGAAAGGGGTATATGCCCTGGAGCACACTGTTTTTAATCAGTAATGATTTTGAGTATCTTACAAAATAAAGTTTTACGCTACTGATTTAACTTCTGCATTGTATATATTTCGAAATACATATTTGACTGCCTTTCATATGAAGTAATAGACCATACTACATAGGCTTATTGACATGCTTCATTCAAGACATGGTGGCCCCAACTCAATAAAGCACTTTAAGCATGTGCTTAAAATTAAATATATGCTTGAGTATATTACTGAAAATCCACCCACAGAAAGGTTTTACCGAACAAATGTGGCTTTAGGCATATTTCTGAGTACTCTGCTGAATTGCAACTTGTGAGCCCTATTACATTGTGAATTGAATGGAGTCACTCAAAGTGTATAAAATTAAGCATGTTTATGACATGTTTATGGTTTTGCAGGATCAGTACTTCATATCTTGGAGCACATGAGGAGCTCTTTAATAATGAAGGGGTTCAGAACTGGTCCTTTTAAGTGGCAGTTTTAATAAAAAAAACAAAATAAAAAGTATAAATTGCAGAGTAATGATGTTAGTTCAGTTCCCTAAGGCAAGCCTTACATCATCTGTTTGTATACAGTAAATAAACCTACAGAGAAAAAAAATCCAGACCAATAAATGGATTATAGAAATGAGTTTGGTAATGAAACTTTACACAGCAAGATATTTGCCAGTGAAGTCAAGACATGTGTGACTGAAACACTGTTTAAAAAAAGGTTGTTCAGTCTGCCTAATATTTCACTGGCCTTTGAAACATTTATTTACATAACTATGTTTTCTTATGGCTCCCTTGAAGGCGGGATTTATCATCTGCATGCTGAAGATTCATGTTGGTACTCTTCTTAAGAAAATTTTCCTGCAACATGAAAGAAATCAAGTTACCAGCAAAACAATAAGGCAGCTCAGAGTGAGCTGAATATTCATATTTTGTCTTAAAGCATGAAAAAGCTTACAGGTCTGAAGTTTTAAGTTTCTGTGTTAAAAAACTCGAGGTCCCAGGCATACAATGACTTCCACTCATATGAAGCATGAACTGATACAGTGCACCTTGTAGATCAATCGTGTTTTTATCAGCCTTCTCCTCTTCATCCACTTGCTGAGTGGATTTAAGCTATTCCTGTGTGATACAAAATTCAGTGCATTTAGCAGACCAGAGGAAATTTAGATAAAACTTCTTTTTTACAGACAACTTACATACTGAATGAAGCTGGTCCCATCACCAGCCACATGCTTTGAGTCAAATACCTGTAGTGCCCTGGTTCGTTTTCTAAGCAGTCAGTGCTCTTCCGTGAAGAACATCAAGTACCACAGTGACAAAGGTGAAGGCTCAAGTAGCTGCTGCACTAGCTATCCAGGCTTCTAGGAAACATCCACACAGACAAGGAAGCTATGCTGCAGGCTCCAGGCCTGAGGTCAAAGATGCGTCATTAGAAGCATCATTTCCTGATATTAAAGACTCCAAATCATTAGTCTTTTAATACATAATATCAATAGCTGTAATGAAAAATGCACATGATACAGAGAATCCCCTGAATCTTAATGTACTCTCTGCCACTGGAAGCATAATGCAATATATGTATCAGCTAATCTGGAGAAAAACAACAGGTCAAATGGTGAAAATGGGGAGGAAGGCAGTGCCTAAACCTCTGATTCTGGTGTATGAATGCAAATTGCCCCCATTCCTGGGGTCAGCACAAGCAGTGCCTCTGGAAATATAGTGAAATGGAGTGTGAGTGGGATTTCTGCGGAATGCATGGTTGTTCTGGCTCCTGCACAGTGAGATGTTTCACACTGTGCACAGCAGATGGGAGCTGGGAAGTTCGGCCCAGGCATTGAAGCTTGCATACATACACGGAAAAAAAACAACCCCAAACACATTTTGTGTGTGTGTCATCAGGCTCTGGCAGAGCTGCTGCTGGTGGCCCCTCACTGGGCTGTGTCTCGGTTCATGTGCACTTCAGCATCCTCGCATGCCCCTGGCACATCATGTGAGCACAGCCGCTCTGCCGGCACATGGATGCTCCCACTCAAGTGGGAGCATCAAGTGATACTAAACTTTCAGGGCAACTGCTGAGCCCTTTTTTTGCTCTCCAGTAGACCACCTTTTCCCAGTGCATGGATATTGTGGGCATACTCAGTTTAAAAGTAATTTTCTAAGGCTAACCAGTCATTGAAAGCAAGCAGAAAATTTATCTGGGTTCAAAAAAATAAGTTGTCTTTTCAAATTGTAGCAGCAGATGTAGCTGCGAATAACAACAGACTGATAAAATCCTATACCCCTTGTTCTGCTTCAGTTTCTTCTCTACTTTTTTTAAGTTCTCAACAGGATGTGTGGATGATCTTCAAGCAAGATGGAGATCCTCCTCCTGTGTCAGATTTTCTGAGTCACAAATCCATCACATTCACAGACAGCACTAACAACATCTTAATTTCTTCACCCTTTTGAGCTTTTATATTGCCCAGTTCAGAAGCTTGGAAAAGTTGGTTATGCACAGGATAAGGCAGCCTCAACTAAAGCTAGCAATGCCTAACCCCTCTCTATTATTCATGATCAAGAACAGTGTTTCCTAAACATTTTTTAACATAATCTTAAAAGGTACACTTTGTCTTTTTTGAAAAAATTCCACTGATTCTGTTGTTGCAGTGATTTCCATTTAGGATAAAATAAAAGACTAAATTAAATTTCATTTATTACTTTTATTTCCTCCTCTCCTTTTCCTGTTTCTGTTTGTTTGCTCAAGTGTTTAATATGTCTAAATTTTTTAAAGTAAATCCATTTTTGCAGGTTTTTGCAGGCAATGTACAGCAATCTGTACAGCATTGGTGTGGGAGAGAAATAACTTGGGTTTGGTTGTATATAGCTGCCTGTATAAATGAGGACATTTCTTGATGAAATGATTTCATTAGGTTAGTCAGAATCTCTAAATTGTAAACCAACAGAAACCCCAAATATGTACCTGCAGACAAAAAACTATGTTAATTTTCATTGAGAGGCTGGTTTCTGGAAAGATGGCCATGAATGCACAGATCGAAAAGTACTTTTTGAACCAATCTCTTCAAAAGTTGTTTCTACCCAGATGCCCATGAGAATCTGAAATATACTGACACATATGGGTTTACTTCAGCTCTTGCTTCTCTACAAGGCTAGTGTGAGAAATGTTGTAGTTCCAGGGAAGGCTTTAAATATTCCTATTTTTCACTGCAAGAAGCATTACTACTGATCCATCTACTGATCCATCATATGAGCTAAGATTTCTCAACTCATTTCTAGCCCAATTTAGCAGGCATACAACTTTGGATAATTGGGGCAAGTTCTAGACTCTTTTCTGAACAAAACCATAACTCCCTGAGCATCTCCCTTCCCACTGCAGTTAACTCAGCCTCATCCCTAGGCAGGAAGCTGCATCCCAGCATTCAAGTGCTGCTCTGGGGTTTTTGAAGCATAATAGAGCTTTAGGCCTCTGAGGGGAGGATGAGGAAGGCTTGGAGGAGAAGGTCAGAGATTCCTAAATTAAGGTTTTTTGTTTTCTTCTTGACAAATGAAGAGTGAGAGGCACCACTAGAAGGCAATTCAGACCTCAAGAGGCTGAAAGCATCCCTGGAGCTGCTTCTTCCACACTTCATTCACTGCAGAAAGAGCCCAAGGTGATGAGGCTCCTGTTTGGGCGCTTAAGATAAGAGCTTAAAATTAGGTAGCCTGATCTCTCTCCTTTACATCACCACAAATCCCCTATTTTGCCCTTTGGTACAGCTTGCACAGGGTGGCTCATTAACACAATATTGATGTTCTTTGATGAGTGAGGAGGCCAATAAGAGCAGTGCTCAGTGTGAAGTATTTCACCTGTTTGATACCTGTTTTTTCCTTAATTATCTCAATGGTGCAGTGTGTTTTCCTATCCCAGTGACATTCAGTTGCTTGTATTGTTAATTTTGGCTTTGTAGCTTGCATCTAGATTACCATTTGTGTGTCCCCAAAGTGGTATCAGTTGCCTGAAATCTTGATTCCTCAGTGTTGTGTGGCTTGCAGAAATGTCAGCTGGTCCAAGGGAGCGGTTTTAAAAGAAACAGAGCTGATCTGACATTCTTCAAAGGGAAGCCTAGGAGACTCATCTCTGCACCTGGATTTGTTATATACACCGAGCAACGGGAAGAGTGCTATGAATGCTGTCACTCGAGCAGTGAAGAGGGACAGGCAGCCATGTCAAAAATGACAATGTTTCTTTTACTAGTCTTGCAAAAGATGTCTGCAGCGATGTGACTGCAGATGACATCAAACAACATAAGTGGCTGGTTTCTGCAGTAGATTGAAATTCATCCCGTTCCCTGTGTTCGCTGTGATGACTTTCAATGCTAATTCTCAGTGAGTGAGGCATGAAATATATTCAGAGGCTATACACAGTTAGGATACTTTTAAGTTATTTGAGGTACCTGTGATATAAACATCTGTGCCTCTTGCTTTTGTGCATTTTCTCCTGCGTTTCAATTACACAGTCAAAGAAACACTGGAAAAGGGGAGAACAAGTTTGCTGATCTAGTTCTTTTTCTTTTTTGAAAGAAATGAGTGCCTCATTGTCTAAGTAGAGGAAAACATGAGATAGAAGCACACTTTCATCTTCACCAACAAGGAAGAAATCAGCTGAATTGATGCAAATGAGGTGTTTTTGAAAGTGATCCCCAAAGCTTGCTGTATTCGCTAAGCAAAACTGTGGGTTGCTTAAACTTTCATTTGGAAATCTAAATAATGTTAGGTACTGTAAAAGACAAAAAAGTTTTAGCTTGAGTTTTACTGCATGACCGTAATGCTCTTTGAAAATGAAGCTAAAGCCAGCATTCAGCTTATACTGTCCTGCAGCTGCAGCAGCCTGTGTGCTTCACTGTATTTTAAGAGTGTGCTTCTCAGTCCTGATGACCCTCTGCTTTTCCTAGGGTTACCTGAAAGAGAGAGGCTGCAAAATGCAGGGAGGTAGGAGGGAAAAGCTTCCTGTCTGTGCAGGTCATGAGAATCTGGTGACAGGAACTACTCCCTGGGATCTGTAGAACAGGAGAACTGGAAGGACAGTCTGCAGTGCATCAAGTCTAATCCCAGGCAGGTGGAGTTATAGTTGTATAAATAAAAAGGGATCTCTTCTTCGGTATAAACTGATACTAAATCTTTTTTTAAATCACAAATAATTTTTTCCTTTTCCATACATGACACTCAGTATCTGCATTTTGTATTAGCTCCTTTGCTAGATACTCTGCTTTTACAGTCAGCTAGAAAGAAAGAGAGACATATTCCTGTCATGAATTTTGGATTTCAGTCTCAGTTCTAATGGCTTTTTCACATAAAAGACATATATAACTGCAACAGCAAGGGGCTGGCACTCTTCCCTTTCTTGAGGAGAAGATCCAGAGTAGTGTGTAACCTCTCTTCCTCACTGCTCACCTTGAATTCTGGGGTCTGTATAATGGAATAGCTTTTATAGGATAGGGTGAGAATATTGTCACCTTGGAACAGATTACCAGATGAGAAAAAAATAATTTAAATAAAGGAAAAAGAGGTAAATCCAGGACTCTCGCAATCTGGCTGTGCATCCTTCCCACTGAGCTACCTAACTCACAAGCTGTGGTGGTTTCTCTTGCAGAATACACCACCTAAGGAGTCTTTCTGCTGTGCCTTTTGCAACCGGTCTTGTCTATCTCGTATTGGCCTTTTTAGCCACCAGCGTGCTTGTAACAAACGTGGGTAGAACCCTTCCCAAATCTTCGTTCACGAAGCCTAGCCATGACCCCAGAGGTCAGCACAGTCAGAATTTTACCCTGTCTTGCCAGCTGGAGCTGCCAGTGGGGTGTTGTGTCAGCTCCTTGGCACCTTCATGACCTGTTAGGCTGGTGGCAGTTCAGCCTCGTGCCCTGGGCTGCAACCTACAGCACCCAAGCCACAAACACCTGACTGTAGGTTCTCCAGGGTTGGGAGCACCTGAGGGACCTGCCAAGGCTGGTGAGGCAGTGTTGGAATGTTGAACCACCTGGTGGTCTTGGGCTTCTACACTTGTAATAGTCTAACAGCGGGATGGGGGTTGAGATGGTTCGGGGACACAGTCTGCTGGGAGGATTCCAACAAAACCTGCTGGATGG